ATTTGCTAAAGATGATCAGATTTGTTGCTAGTCCTACCAGATCATAGGTCTCACCTCGACACTACTAACCATTGAGCATTACTCTTGGAGGTTTCCCCATGGCCAGAACTTCAATCATTTTCTACTCTACTGCTCCTCCTCTTTTCTCTCTAAATGGCTGACTCCATTTTCCAAGTCTGGACCTGGGTTTCATCTTGATACTGCCTTCTCCCTTATGCACCACACCTGACTGGCCATATTCTCTTCGCTAATGCCCTGGCTTTAGCTCAGATCATAGACATTTCATACCTGGAATATATACCTTCCTCCTCACTGAATGCTTCCAACAGCTACAGGATAAAATCTACCCCTCTTAATATGGCTTACATGTCTCTTAAAGATACAGCCCACCTACCTCTCTTATCTCTCTCTTAAGCCTCTTCCTATTCCCTTTCCCAACTGCTGAAGTGCTATAGTCTATAAAAATATCCTGCTCTTTCGTCTCTCCATACACCTGCTTACATCCAGTATCTTCTGCCTAGACTATCTGGTTTTTTTCCACCTTTATCTTTGGGTAACTCCTACTCATCCTAAAAAATGTCAGCTCAGCTACTTTCCAAAAAGCAAGCTCTAATAATCCATCATTTTCAACTTAAATCTGGGCTAAGTGAAAATCCAACATGCTCTTGTAGCAGCCTGTGCTATATGATGGCATTATAATGTTGCAAGCACTAATTTCTGTCTTTTCAATAATGTGTATGTACACGTGACAGTTATTTTTAGAATTTGTATGTCGACCCTGAAGTCTCCACCATGATCTCTGTGAGGTGAAGCACATGTCATTTGGAAAAGCTTCCCAGGAGAGTCTTATCTAGTTCTTTCCTGCTGAGAGGGACAATTTCTAGGGGCAGAGACGTCCCCAGCGCTATCCCAGAACTTAGCACATCATAGGTGGCCATTACATCATGTTGGATGATGATAAGGACAGCAGTTACTCAGGTGAGAGGTCTGTTCTTCCCTCAGTAGACAATAAGCAGACTCTTACCATTTGTGAGTAGGGGCTCAGCACAGTCAGGGTAACACATTAGAAATTGATGTGTGGATCAGATTGGAGGAGAAAGAGGGATTATATATTTCATTCTGAATCTTGAACAAAAAGTTGCAGAGATTACAAAGGATTCGGGCTACTGGAAAAACTGCCCAGAATAACCACCAGACATGGAATCACGGAAAATCTTCATATAAAACTCTGGGGGGAAGGACCTAAAAGGTCACCTCCAGGAGAGAGAATATCTAAAAACTCTTCTGCCTGACATGGCCAGATTTGTTCTGGATATGAGGGGGCCAGGTTAGAGAAGACTGGTGGGGTGGGTTGTAAGTCTGGGAGAACTGTTGGTAGGCCTAATTAAGTGTGGAACACTACTGTGCAAAGGAGGGCATTCATTCTAGAGCATATTCCACTCCTGACTTAGCTACCTCTAGACCAATGCTAATGGATGCTATCAACAACTGCGTTCTACGTGAGAGTGGACGTAACAATACATCCCATAGCATCCACTGAGCATTTTAGAAAAGGTGAAACTGTCTTTCAGGTTTAATTTATTTCTGCTGGTTTGTTTTGTTTCATAACAGCATACATTTAGGAGGTGCTTGTTCTTCACTCCCAATCTCCTTTTAGCCTTTGTCAGTATCCTTGTGGGCCCTCCACAGGTGGTTCCATTTGTAATCCATTTGACACAGCAAGACAATCATAATTAATGAAGCTCCCTACAGCACTGCCAGTGACCCAGAATGGAGGACAGGAGGGGCACTGAAGCAGGGGAAAGAACAACGGGCTGAGGGCCAGGAGACATGGATGTTGCCTGCAGCCTGCTGTGGAGCCGCCACAGAACAAGGGTGGCTTGCTCTTCTGTGCACCTCTTTGTCTCCAGTCCTAAACTGGAGAGACAAGAAAGAAAAGGCTTTGTCTAAAGTGAAGGCATCATCATTAACTATGAAAATACCTGCCCTTAGCCACCCTCCTTTCTTTTTTCCACTGAAAATAAATTTAAAGTAAACTTATGAGTCAAGTTTTGATTGTGTAGAAAGCAGGAAAGATATGATTAAATCTTCAACTTCTGAAATAAACCCACAACAGTTTTTGATTAGAGGTACCAGGATGGGGCCTGGAGAAGAGGGAACTCTGAGCTGGCATGGCATTGACATGGTCAGGGTTCCAGACAGGAAAAATGAGGAAAGTGGTATCTTTTCCCCCTTTTCTGTTTCAAACATACATGGAATAAAAAGAGAAAGGAAATAAGAGCCAGAAACAAAACAGACAGCTTTTTACAACGGTTTCCATCTAGTTAGATTTATGTTTTGACAATAATTATTCATATTATTTTTATTTTACCCCACACCATTTCCTGCACACATTAGCCTAGACCTGTATAACACACAAATCACCAGAATGGGGAAGCCGTTGTAGTCTATCTCAGTCTCTGTAGTCAGAGAGAAGAACCTGATGATTTGTTTATTAAAATGATGTCAGATGCATCTATCAAAGAATGTTCCCAGAGGGACCAGAAGAGACCTGTTTTCCTGCTCTCAGGCCCCGTCTGGACTCTCCAGTCCATTTTCACACTGTCTTCCCACTGGTCAGCTCACAGTGACAGCATGCTCTGAGTGCACATTAAACAGGTAGAGAACAGAGTCAGATTTTTACACGCTGAGAGTTTCCATTTCTCACCCAAATGAAGAAACCTGAATTTCCAACAACCCTTCACTTCAACTTTTTTTTTTTAACTATTAAAATCTTACTGAACCAGTTCCTTCTGAGTAAGACCTGGTATCTGCTAACTTACTCCTCTTCATTTTCAAAATGGATCCAGAGTTCAAGCCCTGATATCACTTATTTGATGACTATTTCCTTTGCACTTATGCTTTTACATAGAGTATCAACCTTTATTACTATTCTTATATTTAAAAAATGTATTTAAAGTTCTAATTGTTTTTCTTTTTATAAAAGTAAGAAAAACTTATACTTTCTATGGTTATAAAAATGACCTAAGTAAAATGAAATTTCTGTTTTTCTATTAATGCACTGTTTGAAACCTGCTGGATGAATTTTCACTGGATGTGGAGGGAATGTTTAAGATAATTTGATTTAAAATAAGGGCTTCCTGGCCTCCATGAAATTAAGACTAGGGACCCTGGGCAGCCATCCTCCTAGACAGCTAAATGTGAGTTTCAGCAAGAGGCCAGTGTGCTGTTGATGGGGGAGACTTGTCAACCTATTCACAATGAGGACACACACTAAAGTCCCAGTGGTCAATGCCCTGAATTGGAGGCTCAAGACAGACTACATGGCCAGGACACATAGTCCCCTGCAGAATGAGTGGTAGCAAGGATTATTCTATTGGATGGTATTTGGGGTTATAAAATAATAAGTAACATAATTAGTAACAATAACAACAAAGCATCCATCAGGGTTTTTGCTGTTTGTGAGGTTGGTAGTAGTCATATGGCACCGTGCCTCATTTAAACCTCACACGACCCTCTGAATTGGGCGATGAATGAAAGAGCCAGCATTTGAACCCAAGGCTAACCTTAATCCAAGGCCCTTGGTTATTTCTAGCAACAATCTTCCGTGTTGTGGTCAGGACAGTCTCCTACTACTACAACTTATCTACTGTCTGAGTACTACAAAGCACTCCAGTCATGGCTCAAGCCAGTTGGCCTTGTGGCCAAGTCCTTCAGGTATAAGCTCTCCCTGAAGGAGAGCTACCTGATGCACCACATTCCTGCCTCCTATTTCTGATCCCCTCCCTTCTGCTGCTCAGGCCACTCTACTTCTCAGCCTCTTCCACTGGTGTTCTCACTTCCACCTCTCTACCTTCTGCCGAGCTACTCCCTGAGCCAAGAGGCACTTCAGTTCTGCTGCCAAGTCCTCCTCCTTCCCTCCTCCTCATTCTGCTCCCAAACAAGCCCCACCCTGTATTCCCTCCCACCCAGACTTTGCTCAGTGGCAACAGGAGGAGTTTCTTTCTTACCTCCTAAGAGCCTTTTCCACCCTCTTTGTACCACTTTCTGAAACTGATGCTCCACCCATGGTTTCTCTAGCCATGTATGCTTAGTGAAAGTGCTTATTATTCATCCTTTGTACACATCCTCTGTCCTGGGGACTGCAAAGTTCGGTGCAGATTTAACAAACGTTGTTGGTGCCAGGTGTTGTTCTACTATGTTCCAGGCTCCAGATACTTGGGATACAATAGTGAACAAAAGCATAGAGGGGCCCTTCCTTCATTGTGGTGACTCTCCCCCTTCCATTTTTGTGTTGGGATAGCTTTGGAGATGGACTCCTGAGTTGAAGCTCATATTCCAGTTTTTCTACTTATAGTCTGTATAACTTTGACAAAGTTAACTAACCTCTGTGTCCTAGTTTCTTGTAAATTGGGAAATAGTAATAACATTTACCTCAAATTTGTTACTTAAAATTAAATAAGGGGCTGGAGATGTAGCTCAGTGGTAGAGCACTTGCTTAGCATGTACAATTCCCAGATGGCAAAAAAAAAAAAAAATCAGTTAATACATGTAAAGTATTCAAGATAGTGACACACTGTGAGTTCTCAATATATGTTAATTATTGCTATTACTTTTTAAAGATAATTAGACATATAAATGCCAGGAATCTTCCTTTGATAGTATTTCTAAGTCTCCTTCACTAGGCTGTAAACCTCATGTAACCAAGGGCCAACTTCTCAGTCCTTTCACGTGGCCATCGCTGTGTTTTTCACAGCCTGTGACAGGTCCAGTAGGGGAGGAATCTGCTTCTAGGTCAGAGTGAATCTTGGCCCCCTCCAGACTAAAACCTGGTTCATTTGAGACACTCTAATCTTATTATGACATATTCTCAAAGAAAGACAAATATATGCTCAATGCTGTCTACTGATTGTGGAAAATGCTTTACTTTCTAAGAAACAAGTCCCAAGTTTATCACGTGAAAAGCATTTTCAGCATCAAAGAGAAATGACAAAGCTCACCTTGATTTTTCAATGGTAAAGGCATAGTTTCCCTGAGTTTGCTTAAAAGGTTTTTCATTTCTCGCATGTCTCTGTAAAATTGACAAAGAGAAAGAATAATCAGCTGTAAAATTTCAAAATAAAATCTCAAATAGTCTGCTCTATGAGACAACTGAAGGGCAAGAATCTGTGCCTGATTGTATTAGCTCTAGCTTCCAATGGGCATTTATTGTATATATTTTGCTTTTATTAAAAAAAAAAAACTGAGATGATTGACTTTGGAAGGAAGAATTGTTCTCCCAAATGTTTCCATTGGGCTTTCTACAGAAGCTCTGACCCAGCTGAGTTCAGAGAAGTGACTTTGTTAATGAGGACAGTATTTCTGATTCACAAGGGAGAGACCAAGGATGCACAACTGGAACAACAGACCCTTAGGGAAAGTTAAGGCTTGTGGTGCCGTGCAGGTTTCTCACTGTTGACTACTTGGGTTTAAAAGTCTCTCCTTACTGATCAGAATCCATGAGGACTTACTAAATTGAATGATGAGAGAGTGATAATTTTTTTTTGTCAGTGCTGGGAATTGAACTCCGGGCCTTGTGAAGGCTAGACAATCACTCTACCATTGAGCTACATCAGTAACCCTTAGTTTGTTGGGACAGAATCTTGCTATGAAGGCCAGGCTGGCCTTGAATTTAAGGTCCTCCAGCATTGGCCTCCCAAGTGCTGGGATTACAGCTGTGTACCACTACGCATGGAGGATGATAAATTCTAAAACCGCCAGAGAAGAGCTCTTCACAATGGAGAGGGGAAGAGAGAGAGAGAGAGAGAGAAAGAGAGAATCTGAGGACAGCTGGGTCTTCTGCCACTGACTTGTCCTTACAAGTTCCCTGGCTCCTCAGCCTAGGGCATGCCATGTACTCCTCCAGCAGCCCCCCTAACCTGAGAGGGCATACGATTATAGAGCCAGTACTGTAGAGCAGGCACAGGTAACTACTTCAGGGGGTTCTAGTGTCTAGGTATGGGAGAGGTGGCCTTTTGAACCCTTTGGACAGTGGCTCCGCCACATATGCAGGTGTGGCACAATGGAGACAGTGACTGCAAACCCCAAGGACATAGTGGTAGGTTCCATCTAATACAGCCCAAAGGATCTTTTGGTGCAAACTCCAGACACATCTTTTAATTAAGTCTAGAATGGACGAGCATTACCAAGCATTGTGTTTAAGAATGTTTGTGGGGGCGGAGGGAGAAAATCCTAAAGTTGAAGAATTTCTATCCTTTTTTTTTTTCTTCTTCTGGTATTTGAGGAAAGAGTGAGCAGCATTCAATTTCAAGTATGAAACCCTCAGTCTCTTTCACAAAGCACCACTGTTCTGTTGAGTGTGATTTGAGGGGCACTCTCTTGGGTGCCTTCATAGACCCCAAGGGGTCTTTTCTCAAGAACATTGACTAAGGTGTGAAAAGAAACTTCAATCTCAGGAACTGCTGATTAGAAAAGTAAGGGAAAGCAGCCTAGTGTCAGAAATACCCTGTAAAAGTATTAGGAGTGGTTTTCCTTGGGTGTGAGTTTGGGGAGTGTATGTGGGCACCTCATGCAGATGAGGCAAAAGGGGAAGGTGGAGAGGGAGGCAGGGCCCTCCTTCCATAAGTGTAAGGGACATACCTGCTTCCGTGCAAGAGTTCCAAGTCAGGTAGGATGGATGGGGAGGGACAAGGAATGCATGGTTAGGACTGAAGCAAGGTCACCTTGGTGGCAGCATAGGAGAATCACTTATGCCTCACCCAGCCCCAAGAGAATCTTCTGGTAGGGATCAGGCGTCAGTGTTTTTAAAAAGCCCCCCTGGTGAGTTAAATGCAAGGCCTAGGTTGAGACCCATAGACCTCGGAGCAGAGAGCCAGGGAGAAGTGAGCAAAAGCTCAACGCCTGTTTCCCTCAGGCCTCTCATCTCTTTGCTGGGAATCTGGACTTCAAACAGTGGCCAGCCTAACCAGAAACACTGCCCATCCTGTGCGCTGCCCTACCCCATTTGTACTGCCAACCAAGCTGTTTTCTTAAAGCTTCAGAGCTGTGAATACAGTTGCTGTGCAAGGTATGTGGAAAGGAAAATGGCTCTGCTGATGGTTTCTGCCCTGACATGCACTCTCACTGGAATTTTTCCCTTCTGTGAGCAGCAAAGACTTTTCTATTTTATAAATTAAGGTATATCACTCCCTCATCATTTGTCTTCAGTTTTATCAAACAACCTTAATCATTTTAAATTACTGGACATTCAAGCTTACACAAAATCCAAGTTCTATTAATGGCACATAATTACCACAAGTTCCAAGTATCTGTAAACACAGAAATTTAGTAATTAGATTTAGAATTATATTATAATCTGAAAGTAGTGCCACAATAGCTATAAATGCCATTGTGTGTTATATTTCTAAAAATAAAAAAAAATGTTCATTATCTTGTAAATGACTCAACCTTTCTCCCCTCCCCCTTCCCCCACCAATCACGCAGAACACTCAGTGGAATTGCCCTGTATTCATTCAACTGTTTTGTGCCAGCTCTGAGGACATTAGTGGCAAAGGGTATGGATATCAGTGTGAAGGACAATAAACAAGGGTTTCATTTTTTCTGTCTCACAGAATGGCATTTTTAGCATCTAAATGGGACATGCCACTTATTGTATTGTTACTACTTCCTTTTCCCAAATGAAAGAGAATCACTGTCGAATTTCTTCCTCCCAGGAAAGAAACTCCCTCTCTTAAGTGAGCTATCCATGTTAAGATAATGCATTAACTTGCTTCTGCCACTAAGGGGCCATCAGCTGCATTCTGGAAGTGTAAGAGACAGAGGTTCCAGGAAAAGCTCTTTGTGAACTGGACAGAATGCTAAGAGCTAGCCATACCAGATGCCTGAAATCTGAGAAACTTCTAGAAGCTTCTGTATGATTTTAGATTCTTTTTTCTTAAACAAGTGGAAAATTTGGGAACCAGCCAGAGGGATAAACTGTAACAGTATGTAGATCCACCTTTCTCCCTTCCAAGGAAGCTAACTGCATTTTTTTTTTGAGACAGGTCTCACTATGTAACCCAGGCTGGCCTCAAACTCATGACCCTGCTGCCTCAGCCTGCTGGGTTCTGGGATTATTGATGTGTACCACCACACCTGACTTGTTTTCATTTTCTGTGGAGATATGATATGCTAGAAGGGAATAAGCATCCCCTATAGCAACCCACTATAGGATTTAGACTGCTTACCATCTGTAATTGGATACGGTTTGGATACAAAATGGCCCCAAAGGCTCATGTGTTGACAGCTTGTCCCCAGCTGGTGGCAGTGTTAAGAAGTGATTAGATCATGAGGGTTCCATCTTAATCTATGGATCATCCATTGATGTATTCATAATTTGATGGCATTATGGGGAGGTAGTAGAAACTAGGAGGTGGGGCTTAATTGGAGCAAATAGGCCAGTGGAAGTGAGCCTTTGAAGGGTAAATCTTGTCGCTGACCCCTTCTGCTTTCTCTCTGCTTCTTGGCTGCTTCTGGGGGAACAGTCTTCTCTACGACATGCTTCCTGCCATGAAATCTTGCCTGAACTCAGAACAGTGCAGCTAGCTGACCATGACTGTAACTTCTGAAACCAGGAGTCAAAGTAAATCTTTCCTCCTTCATTACTGTTTTTCTCAGATGTTTTCTCAAAGCAATGCAAAACTGACCAATACACCCTCTCTCATCCGCAGATTAGGCAGTCTCTGGGGTCTCTGCCAGCACTACAATTCCTGACAGACCAAAGAGAGCTCTGCCTCTTCTGCCTGAAATAGAAAACTCTCGACTGTCAGTAGTCCCTAAGAACACTGGCTGGGGGAGGACTGGCACTCTATTTAGGAGAACTTCCCACTTACCGTTCAGTGTTCTCAATGTCTGTGGAAACCTGCCAGGAGTGCTGCTGACTCTCTATGGGGGATGAGGAGGAGTCCTCCAGGGCAGGTGTTTCAGCGCTCTCTTCTATCTTGCAATCCAAACTCTTTACTCCCCCACCAGCTTCTTTTCCTATGAAAGGCAGGTTGTTGGTAAAAAAAGAAGGGGATAAGAAAACATAAATGCAAATTCTATACAAGGATGTCACTTCAAAGGTTGGCTATACTTTGAGTCAAATGCTACGTTAACCCCAATAGCTTTCTGAGTGATAAAATAATTTGTGTGTGTGTACAAATGTGTGTGTGTGCCGAACATGTTTTCACAACATTCTGGGATAGTTGAGGTCAATGCAACCTGAAGATCAAGAAGTATTAAGGCCCCTGTTTTTGTTGGTGCTCTGTAACCTGTTCTGAGTGAGTTGGATGAAATTAGCTTGGGGGTATAGGGGGTATTTAGCCTGTGAAACCATGCTGTGCTTTGTCTCAGATGCAGGGGTAGGCAAAAGGGCCAGGAGCAGGTGACACTCAGCAGGAACAATGGGAACTCCTACTGTTCTCTCTGATTCCAGACTGCAGGATCTCTCAGCCTACAGCAGAGATTGTGGAACTGCCTTCCAATTTCTTGGCTCTCCAACCTCCTTTAGTGTGTCCTTCTGTGAGGACAGAGCCCAGCCATATGATCCAAAGACATTAAAGGGTCATCAACTTTAGTGCCATGAGAAGGGCCTCATACTGGGTGGCAGCCCACAGCAAAGCCCTGCCAATCCACTGAGACTTGTATTTACCTGGTAGATATCAATTGAATAAATCCGGAATTTTTATGGTTGAGCCATAAACTTATATGAAATTAGATAGGATATTATAGTCTATGGCCTATCTATATTCTGTTAATGTCTCTTATTCTGCCTTGAAAATCTTTGTACCCGCAGGGAGTGTCCTGGTATTCTGGGAATGAGCTACAAGGACAGAACTGTGCTTTAACGCTGGCTTTGTCATTTGTTCACACACTCACTCATTCACTTACAAATAGTTTTTGAGTGTCAGCTTGATGTTAGAAATAATAGAAGTGAAATAAATTTAAAAAAACTAAAACCCAGAACTGCTATATGACTAGCAATACCTCTCCTACGGATATATCCGAAGGAACATAAGTCAGGATACAATAGAGACACTTGCACACCAATGTTTATTACAGCACTGTTCATAATAGTCATGGTATGGAAATAACCCAGATGCCCTACAACTGGTGAATAGATTAAGAAAATGTGATACACACACATACACACAAACATATAATGGAGCTTTTTTCAGCCATAAGGAAGAATGAAACCATGTGGTTTGTTAAGTGAAGTGAGCCAGGTTCAGAAAGTCAAAGACGCATGTTTTCTCTCATATGTGGAAGATAGATCCAAAAGATAAACATATACACAAAAACAAACATGATCATACGCAAACATATATATAAAACATGCTTGTAATAGTGGAACTACTCTATGGAACTTGGGGGAGGAGGGAAAGGAAAAGCGAACGAAAGAGCATCAACAATATACATTACATCTGTGCAGGTAGAGGATATAACAGTATATATTGAAAGCTGTTGAATAATTGGGATTAGTGGGAGGAAAGGTGTAAGGGGGAGTAACGGAAGGGGTTGAACTGACCAAACTAAAGTATACTCAAGTAGGGATATATCAAGAAACCCCTCGAACATTGATTTTGAAATTAAAAATGAAAGACGGGACTGTAAAATAGGTACAGTGTGTGGGGAGGTACTTGTGGGAGGAGGAAGGGTGAGTGGAAGAGATGAAGGTGAGGGAATATGGTTGATGGGCTTCATATACTTACGTGAGTGCTTTAAATGGGGCAGGGAGAGGGCTGGCGGGGGAAATGGTGGGGGCGATGTAACCAATGTACAATGTAAGGTTATTTGGAATTGTCACAATGGATCCCCCCATACAACTAATAAATCCTAATAAAAATGGCAAAAGAGAGAAACAAAGGGGAAGAAAGTCATCATCTCTTTTTCATGGAGCTTAAAGTGCTGGAGATCGACACTATCAAAACTATATAAATAATTGCAAAGCTGCTCTGCAATGTTATGTGGCTCGCTCACTTTGTGCTTTTTACTCTTTACCTTGTTTTACTTTTATTACGAAGACACCACTCTAGACTAGTTAAGAAATTGTTATTTCTCTATCACTGAATATTCGCAAGATAGAAGTTACACTTGTTATTTTGCATGTCAGTCTCATGAAATCCTGCCATGACTTCTTTTGTATTAAAAAATTCAAACAAACCTGTGAAGAGAATAGCTATTCATGGAAAAATCTACTAGAAGTTTTTCCCTTGGATTAGCAATCAATCGTCTTATCCCTGTGGTTTCTAACCCATAAGGTAGCAACACAACGAGAAAGACACAAGCAATTAAGTGGAACTAGTGCACCTTTCATCAAGCTACAGCAAAAATGGACCTCTGAACCAAAACTAAGTTTATACCAAAGCACAAACACAAGTGTACTGATGGGAAATTTTGGTCCTGTGCTGTGTATTTTCTGCACATTGATCCTTGGGGATGGAGCTTGCCTGAGGAATTGTTTTTCCAATTTTATGGTGTGCTGTTGGGTGGAAATTAATTAAGTACATAATTTCACACATTATCATTTCACAGTTGGAGGGCAATGACCTCTTAAAGCACTTGCATTTTGTCTCCTGGTAGACTGCAGCAAAGGCAGTCTGTCCATTGGCTACCTACCTCTGGGCAGAGTTCTCAGAAGAATGTGGCCTTGAGCACAGTGACTGAGACCTCCAAGAGTGCCAATGGCGGGGGGAGGCTCCCCCAAAACAGCTCTCTGCTTTCAAAACTCTGAAGGAGCAAGCAGCCTGAAAGCACCTGTGGGGCTTTTTTTTTTTTTTTGGCGGTACTGAGGTTTGAACTCAGGGCCTAAGCCTTGAGCCACTCCACCAACCCTTTTCTATGTTGGGTTTTTTTGAGATAGGGACTTGCAAACTATTTTCCCAAACTATTTGCCTTCCAACTGTGATCCTTCTCTGCCTCCTGAGTAGCTAGGATCACAGGTGTGAGCCACTGGCTCTTAGCTCATGGAGTGTATGTTTGACTAAAATTTCAGAGGAGATCTGTGGAAAGAAAAATTTCTTAGTGTTTACATGACTTAAAATACATTTCCCTCTCCCTTTTTGTTCTCACATTTGAATTCTATTGGCTGGATATAGAAGTTTATGTTCAAACTAAGCTTCTCTAAGAACCTGGATGACATTGTTCTCTTATCTTCTATTTATACTTAGAGATGCTTTATATGTACCTATTTATGACTCTCAGAATAATTTTTAGGATATAATCTTTAAACATTTTAAATTCTAAAATGGCTCCTAAATATGTCTAAATATGAGTTCTTTTTATATTTTTTTCACCATTTGATTATAATTTGTGGTTTATTTTCTCCAATTTGTTATTTTGAAAAAATTATATATGTAAGTTTATACAAACATTATATGTAAGTTTACATATATAATTCTATATAAATTATACAAAAATTATCTGGTTATGAATTATTTAAGAGTAAGTTAGAGACAATAATGACACTTTATTCTAAATACTTCAGCATAAGTCTCCTAGAGAACAAGGATGCTTTATTATGTAATCTCAAAACAACTGTCACACCAAATAATTTTAAAACTTTGATTAAATATGATTCAATACAATTTGATATATTATTATTTAATATACAGTGTATATTTAAGTTTACTGAATTGTTTCAATAATGTCCTTTATAGCTTCCTTCTTTTAATTGAGGGATCCAATTAAAGAGTACACACAGCATTTAGTTGTCATGTTTCTTTGTTTTTCTTTAATCTAGAATGCCATCCTTGCCTTTTTCTTTTTTTTGGTGTTCTGTCTCACTATTATTGATGTTTATATGGTTAAGGTAGATTCTGTCACCTTTTAGTATAATAGATGCATCCTTTCCTCTCTGAAATTATTAATCTATGAGATGATTAAAATTTTAATTTAAATATTTGTCTCACTTTAGATTCGGGAGAAATTTTTCTTGATTAGCTACATCTTTCAATTTTGTCTGTTCTTTCAGAATTCTTATATCACATTCGAGTCTCTGCAATTATCTTTCATGTTTCTTAACTCTCCTACATAATCTATATTTATCTTTTGGGTTGAATTCCAAGATAATACCCTGATTTGTTCTTTCAGTTCACCATTTTAGGTTCTCAGTATTACCAAAATGATAATTGTTAAGAATTGTGAAATGTCTGAGATTTTACCCTACTTGCAAGTTAGTCTGTTATAATTTTGTGCATAATGGAAGATGACAGGAAATGCCTGGGTCAGAGACAAAGGTAGTTTATTACTAACACAACAGCAGTAGTCAGCATGTCAGCATTTGTGCTGGTTTCTTGAGTCCTAGTTATCATAGGGAAAGGCAGAAGTACCAGATGATTGCCTGTGTATACACAGTAGGCTATGATGGGAGAGGAATCCCTGAGCTTAGAGTTCTCTAAAGCGAAACATTTTCATTATACTGAATATTAAGCATGTCTTGCTCTGTAGGGAGACACTCTATTCTCCAAGGTATTTGCTAAATAAACATTCTTGAAAAGATAGTGTAAGACAAGGGCAATCAGTGCCTCACTTTGCAAAATGCACAAAATGTGCAAAATGCAACAGAGAATTGTCTCCCAACACTAATGTACCTATCTATTGATTTTTTATTTAACTGATAGTATTTTTAATTTTCAATAGATCCTACTGCTTACTATGTGGTGTAAATAATTATTGTTTTATGGGTGCTACAGACTCATAAATCTCTTCATGTATACTGATGACATATATTTAAAATTTTTTCTTCACCTTAAAATTTATTTTTCCAGTATTAGCTGTATGTTACATTTGGTATCTCCTAAGGATTGTTTTTTCTTAAGATTCTGGTCATTCCTGAATGTCTATTCAGATGTGTCTTTGAGGATTTCTGTCTATCATCCTAATAACAGTGTCCTTTTGGTAATTTGGAGAAGGGGCACAGTGCTGGAAAATGTGTGTCTAAAGCTTTTTTTCTGGGTGTAAGAGGTTTCCATCTGTGTTAAATTTCCTGGTCTCCCTGC